CAGTTAGGTACATTCACATGCAAAAGCCTCTGCCGCAGCCTGGGTGGGGCGGGGTCTCAGGGAATCCAAGGGCGGATCAAGGAGTGGTCTGCCTGGCTCGGCTGCAGTTAGGTACATTCACATGCAAAAGCCTCTGCCGCAGCCTGGGTGGGGCGGGGTCTCAGGGAATCAAAGGGCGGATCAAGGAGCTATGGCTGATTCTCCGCCCGGAGTCGCGGGTCTCAGTGACCCGCTAATTGCTGCAAGCACCTCTGAGGGAAAGCCGCCTTCAAGTTCGCCCGCTGCCGGACAGACCAGCTTCTCCCCGTATGAGTCCTGGGTCCCCAGAGACTTCCCGGAACCGGAGTTCAGAGCAGTCGGGAGCTTGTGATTCAAAAAGACAGCCGTGTCCTCAGGTGCCACCCCCTTTCCTCGCCCGCGCGAGCCGCCGTACCTCTGCACTTCACCTCCGCAGCGCCTCTGGCTCTCAGCATGCTTTTCTTTCCTTCTAGTTGTAGAATTTACACTCAGCCAGCCTTTCTGTTGTTCTGGATGATGTTTGCTCAGTCCTTTGTGGTAATTTTCAATTGTTGTGTGAGGCGACAATTTCCCGGTGTTTACCTATGCCGCCATCTTCTTTCGTTTGTTTCTTAAGGTAGGCCTTTGATAGTATGAATTTCTCTTTTAGGACTACTTTGGCTGTGTTCTATACATTTTGGATTGTTGTGTTTTTATTTTTCTTTGTCTGGAGGTAATTTTTTACTTCTTCCTTTAACTCACTGTTAACCAATATTTTTGTTTAGTAACATGTTATTTAGCTTTAATGTTTTTAATTTTTTTATAATTGATTTCTAGTTTCATATGATTATGATCAGATAAGATTGATATGATTTCAATCTTCTTAAATTTATTGAGACTTTGTTTTGTGTGCTAACATGTTGTCTATCCTAGAAAATGCTCAATGTGCCCTTGGAAATAATGTATATTCTGCAGCTTTGGGGTGAAATGCTAAAGTTTAAAGTATTTTCTATAAACTGCCTTTTTTTCAACTTATAAGACAAAAGGACTCATTTTAAATTAAAATACTATATAAGTTCTAGCAATGTGTCTTAGAGAAAATTTTGCTGTTAAGTTTCATTGGAGGCAGAACTTGCTTGCTATTTATAACCTTTTCTCCTAGAAACAACATGAAAGAAACTTTGTATAGTGTATAGTTAAAACTTCTGCCTTATAAGAATTTTGTTTGCATTCAGAAGTACCTTTTGGTCCCATAGTAGTAGTTTTGTCTGCATTTTTATTATAGTGCATAATGCTAAATGATGCAGAAAGGTTATTTCACACTCTTGTCAACTCTTGATATTAATGTCCTATTTTTTGTCATTCCACTAGAATGTAATATTTTATTTTCTTGTAATCCTTTATTTATTAAAATTTTATTTTTTCTTTTTCTTTTAATTACCTATTGGTCCACTTTTGTATTGGGTTGTGTAGCTTTTACTGTAAATTGGCTTCTGTTACTGAAACTAATCTAGTCACCACTGTCTCTTCATTGCTTGACCTTTTCCTCATTCTTGAATCCATTCCCTTCATTGTCTTTCATAAAAGACCTTAACTCCTGATTTTCTTCTTCTCAGGCTACTTTTCCTTTTATAAGTTTTTTTTTTTTTTTTTAACCTGTCTCAACTCACCCCTCTTCACAATATGTATTTTTATGTCTTCTTCATGATGACAGTTATGATTTCTGTTTAGTGACCAAATTACAGATGCCTCTAATACTACTGTAGTTTATGTCTCCATTCACAATTGAAGACTGAATTTCTGTTAGAGATTAGTGAAAATAAAGATGTAATTTTTTCCCATCTAAGTTCACCAGCTCCCTGAATTCTATTTGGCCTCATGATTGTGTGGACCTCAGAATAGGTACACACCTAACAAGACTGCCACTTTCTGTTGCTTACTGGTCATTTCCACCTACATATCTCATATCATTGACATCATTATTATAATTAAACTAGAGGCCCGTTGCACAAAAATTTGTGCACTCGGGGAGGTCCCTCAGCCCGGCCTGTACCCTCTCGCAGCCTGGGACCCCTCCGGGGATGACCACCTGCTCCCTGGGGGATCGGGCCTAAGCTGTCAGTCAGACATCACTCTGGCAGCCCGAGAGCCCACGGGGGGTGTCCACTTGCTACAGGGAGCAGACCTAAGCTGCAGTCGGGCATCCTTAGTGCTGCTGAGGCGGGAGAGGCTCCCACAACCACCGCTGTACTGACAGCCATCAGCCTGGCTTGTGGCTGAGCAGAGCTCCCCCTGTGGGAGTGCACTGACCACCAGGGGGCAGCTCCTGCATTGAGCATCTGCCCCCTGGTGGTCAGTGTATGTGATAGTGACTAGTCATTCCCAGTTGTTCTGCTGTTAGGGTCAATTTGCATATTACCTTTTTATTATATAGGAGTGCCTGGCCAGCCTGGGTGAGTGGCTGATGGCAGTTTGCAGGATGGTCAAGCCCTCAGCGGGGACCCTCACCCCATGAGGGTGTGGCCAGCCTGGGTGAGTGGCTGATGGCTGTTTGCAGGCTGGCCACAGCCCCTTCAGGGTAGAGGTCCCCCCTGGGGTGCCTGGCCAGTCTGGGTGAGGGGCTGAGGGCCGTTTTCAGGCTGGCTAAGCCCCCCAGCGGGGACCCTCACTCCATGAGGGTGTGGCCAGCCTGGGTGAGGGGCTGATGGCTGTTTGCAGCTGGCCACAACCCCCAGCCACCCAAGCTCCCAGTAGAGGCTGGCTGGAAGCAGGTATCTGGGATTTGTTTAGCTTCTATAATTGAAACATTGTTGCCTTTAGTGGAGGCCACAGCTGACTCAGGGCTGGCAGGAAGCTTGGCTTCCTCCATCGCCTGGGCAACCAAGCCTCCTGCTTGCTCCAGCTCTGTGGCTGCTGGCCACCATCTTGGTTGGGTTAATTTGCATATAGTCACTATGATTGACTGGTGGGCGTGGCTTAGGGCATAGCAAAGGTATGGTCAATTAGCATCTTTGTCTTTTAGTGTAGATTTATTTGAATGCCATGTATATGCTAGACAAAATGCTAGGTGCTTTTCATACATTACCTCCTTGAGTCTTCTTTAGAGTTTTATTATCTCAATTCTAGAAATATGGAAACATTCGGCTGAAGATTAGGCTTTCCCAAGATCATAAATGTGGAAGCTGAATTCAGATTCATGTCTTTCTGACTCTAGAGCCAATGTCCTTAATTTTTATGCCATAATATTATATCTTTATCCCACTTCCCTACCACCCACCCCTAGATTCAGTTCCCTGCTGGTGCCACCACCTTCCATTGAAACCAAATAACAGAATCATCCTAGACTTTCCCTTTTCTTTTACATGCAACCTATCACCAAGTTGTTCAGTTTATTCTCCAAAATGTTTCTTTAAACCATTATCTACCCCTCCCCTCAATCAGACTGCCACTGCTAGATCCTTAGATTAAGCTTATTTTATTGATTTTTTACAGCGAGGAAAGGAGAGGGATAGTTACAAACATCAATGAGAGAGAAACAACGATCAGCTGGCTCCTGCACACCCCCTCCTGGGGATGTGCCCACAACCAAGGTACATGCCCTTGACCGGAATCGACCCCAGGACGCTTCAGTCCGCAGGCCGACACTCTATCCACTGAGCCAAACCAGTTAGGTCAGATTAAGCTTTTCTTCATCTTATCTTAGATCAGCAATTTTCAACTCTTTCATCTCACAGGACATATAAACTAATTATTAAAATTCTGATCTGACAAAAAAAAAGGTATAATTTTGACCCATTCTCGATGGCTATTGTGCTGGCTGTTGTCATTTTTTTTTACTTAACATTGTAGGGGAAAAGAGGTCAGTGCCCCTGACTAAACAGTCAGGTATTACATGTCTTAAGTTTTCTTGTGGCACACCAATTAAAAATCGCTGTCTTATATGAATGTTTCCATTAGTCTCCTACTAATTCTCTCTACTTTCACTTTTATGTTCCTTTAAACTACACTACTTCTCAAATAAGCTTTCTTATACAAAAATCTGATTTGCTTCTTTTCTATTTAAATTCCTTCAATGAAAAAGATAAAATTCAGTTCCTTAGCATGTCACAAACATCTTACCTAATAATAGACAAACATGTAAATTGACAGGCCCTCCGCTATGCTCACCAGCCATTCAGGAGAGTATGCAAATTAACCCAACAAAGATGGAGCTTAATTTGCATACATAGGCATGAAGACCGAAGGCGTGGGTCCCGGGTGCCAGAGGAAAACCGGTGCCAGCAGCCAGGGGAAGGGAAGGCCTATTGCATGAATCTCTTAGTGCAATGGGCCTCTAGTTCCTTAAATAAATGGTTATGTCTATTCTCTTTCCTTACTACTTTCCCATAATTGTGCTTTAGTTATATCTTGGAGACCTCCTACTCTCATACTTTTGCACCTGCTATTCTCTCCATCCATAATTCCTTCTCTTCCTTACCTTTGTTACTTTCTCTTCCTTCCTTACAAACCTATTCTACAGCTCCAGACTCAATTCAAATAACCTTCCCTATGAAGCACTATTAATTCCCTATTCCCATTATACTAAGTTCATGATTTCTGTGTTTTAGATGCCTCCACTATAAACTTAGGTTAACAACAACTACCTTAAAGGAGTTGTTATGAGGAATTAAAGGAATAATAAATGTAAAATAACTAGTGCAGTGCCTTTAGATAGTACTCAAAATCGGTCCTTTAATACTCCTTCTTCATATAACTCTGTGAATAGTGATGTTATAATTGAATACTTGCCTCTCATTCTGAACTTGGAGATTTTGGAGATTTTTAAGATTATAGATTTGGTTTACTTTGTATATTCAATGTCTATTTCAGTTTCTGATACATATTAGGTAGTCTATGAATACATTTTAGAGAATATAATAAATATTATGACTAGACACTGAGTAGCCCAGTAGAATGAAGCAAATGGCTTACATGTGTGATTCCTGTCTGTTTTCTCTTTTTAGTGGTGATGAGTTCCTCAACTTCCTTCTGAAATTAAACAAACAATGTGGCCATTTAATAACAGCTGTACAGAATATCATTACTGAGTTGCCTGTAAATTCTCATAAGGTATTCTACAAAAGTTAAGTGAAGAAAAGTATGAATGCTGAAGAACATTTCAGATAAGTCTATGATAATTAGTAATAGCAGTGATATGTTAAAATTGTATTTTTATTCTAAAAAATATATCAATAATGAAATATGTTTACTATTACTCCTTTACAACTTATTAATTGAAAAACTTTTGTCTGCTAGCCCTCAAGAAAAATGAGTCAGACTAAAAATTAAACTGATCTGTTTATTGTACTTACTATTTGTTCTAAAGGGAATTTAATTTAAAATATAAAGTGACAGGAGACCTAAGTGGAAGTTGAAACAAAACATTGTTAAGTGTTATTAAAAACCATATCAATATATAAGGTGTTTTAGCCCGACCAGCTTGGCTTAGTGGTTGAGCATTGGCCTATGACCCAGGAGGTCACAGTTCAATTCCCTTTCAAGGCATATGCCCAGGTTGTGGGCTCAATCCCCAATAGGGGGCGTGCAGGAGGCAGCTGATCAATGATTCTCATCATTGATGTTTCTATCTCTCCCTCTCCCTTCCTCTCTGAATTCAATAAAAAAATTTAAAAATAGTGTGTTTTGGATTTTATCAAATGTTTTTTCTGCATCTGTTGATAACGATCATGAGATTTTTGTCTTTCAGTTTGTTTATGTGATGTTTCACATTTATTGATTTGTGAATATTGTACTAGCCTTGCCCTGGAATAAATTTCACTAGATCATGGTGTATGATCTTTTTAATATATTGCTGGATCTAATTTGCTAATATTTTGTTGATGATTTTAGCATCTATGTTATCAGAAATATTGGCCTGTAGTTCTCTTACTTTGTAAGGTCATTATCAGGTTTTGTAATTAAGATAGTTCTGGCCTCATAAAAAGAGCTTGGAAGTGTTCCTCCTTCTGGATTTTTGGAATAGTTTGAGGAAGATAGGTATTAGTTCTTTGAATATTTGGTAAAACTCCCTTGTGATGCTGTCCAGGCGAGAGATTTTATTTGCTGGGAGTTTTGTTTGTTTGTTTGTTTGTTTGCGGGTTATTTTTACTGCTTCAGTTACATCAGTTGTTATTGGCCTATTTAGTTTTCTGATTCCTCCTGATTGAGTTTTGGATGCTTGTGTATTTCCAGGAACTTGTCCATTTCATCCATGTTGCCCAGCTTATTAGCATATAGTTGAGTTGTTCATAGTATTTTCTTACAATCCTTTGTATTTCTGTGGTTTCAGTCGTTACTTCATCTCTTTTGTTACTGATTTTATTTATTTGGGTCCTCTGTCTTTGTTTCTTGATGAGTCTGGCTAGCAATTCATCCGTCTTATTTTATTTTTCAAAGAACCAGCTCTTGATTTTATAGATTTTTTGTATTGTTTTATTGGTTTCTATGTCAGTTACTTCTCCTCTGATCTTTATTATTTCCTTCCTTCTATTTCTTCTGGGGTTTTCTTTTTGTTCTCTTTTTATTTCTTTTAGTTGTAGGGTTAGTTCCTTTATTTGAGATTTTTCTTGTTTCTTCAGGTAGGCCTGTAATGTTATGAACTTCTCTTTCAGGACTGCTTTTGCTGTGTCCCATAAATATTTGGGTTGTTGTGTGTTCATGTCCATTTGTTTCCAGGATGTTTTTTTTAATTTTTTTAATCTCATTTGTAACCCAATCATTGTTTAATATCATACTATTGTTTAATAGCATACTATTTGGCCTCCATGTGTTTGAATGTTTTTGAGTTTTTTTTATTGTAGTTGATTTCTAGTTTCATGTGGTCTGATCCAAGAAGTTCCTTGATATAACTTCAGTCTTCTTGAACTTGTAAAGACATATTTTGTATCCTAACATGTGGTCTATCTTTGAGAATGCCCCAGTGCACTTAAGAATAATATTTATTCTGCTGCTTTGGGATTAAATGTTCAGCAAATACCAGTTGAATCAATCTGATCAACTGTGTTGTTTAGGTCACTTTTTCTTTGTTGGTTTTTTTATCTAGAGCACCTGTGCAGTGATATCAGTGGGGAGTTCAGGTCCTCTGCTATGATTGTATTGCTGTCTATCTCTCCCTTAAAATCCTTCATGAGTTATTTTATATATCTACTAGAGGCCAGATGCACGAAATTCATGCAAGAGTCTTGGCCCTTGCAGATCTGGCTGCCTTGGCCCTCGCAGCCCCGGCTTTATCTGGAAGATTGTCCAGAAGGTTGTCTGTATTGTTTCTGTGCTGTCCAGTCTAATTAGCATATTAGCTCTTTATTATATAGGATATATATTTAGCTGCTTCTATATTGGGTGCATATATGTTTACTAGTGTTACATCATATTTTTGGAGTGATCCCTTTTAGTATTATGTAGTGACCTTCCATCTTTGTCTCTTTTTATGGACTATTTTGAAGTCTATTTAGTCAGATATAAGCAATCCTACCCCAGCTTATTTTTCAGTTCCATTTGTATGGAATACTCTTTTCCATTCCTTCACTTTCATCTTTTTAGCATTTCTTGCAATTCTGATTTTGTGGTAATAAACTCTTTCAAACTTTCTCTTGTCTGGGAAGCTCTTCAGTCCACCTTCAATTTTGAATTTTAGCCTTGCTGGATAGAGTAGTCTTAGTTTCAGATCCTTACTTTTTATCACTTTGAATACTCCATGCCATTCCCTTTGCTCTATGATGTTTCTGTTGAGAAATCAGTTGACAGCCTTATTGTAGCTCACTTGTAGGTTATTGACTGTCTCTCTCTTGCTGCCCTTAAGATTTTCTCTATCTTTAGAATTTGACATTTTAATTATGGTGTGTCTTGGTATGGGTCTCTTTGTGTTCATCTTTATTGGGACTCTGTGCTTCCTGAACTTGTATAATTTTTCCCTTCACAAAGTTAGGGAAGTTTTCTGTCATTTCTTCAAACAGGTTTTCTATTCCTTGCTCAGATTCTTCTGCTTCTGGTACCCCTACAATGCAGATGTTGTTCTGTTTCATGGTGTCCCAAACTGCCCTTAAACTCTCATTTTGCTTTTTAAGTGTGTATTTTGGGGGGGTTTTTGCTTTTATAATTGATTTTTTTTTACCTTGTCTCCCAAATTGATGATTAAATCTTTTGTTTCATCAAGCCTGCTTTTAATTTCTTTCATGTATTCTTGATATCAGATATAGTATTATTCATTTTTGATTGGTTCTTATTCATGGTTTCTATGTTACTGTTTTTGCTGCTGTAGTTCCCACTAAGTTGCTTATAGTTCTCACTAAGTTTCTTCAGCATCCTTATAACCATTACTCTGAACTCTGTCTGTCTTCCATCTCATTTTGTGTGTGTTTTTCCTGGAGAGTCCTCCTTTTCATTCATTTGGTGTTATTTCTTTGTCTCCCTATTTTAGTTGTCTGTTTGTGTTTGTTTTTATGTATTAGACATACCTACAATGACTCTCAGTCTTTGTGGAGTGGCCTTGTGTAGTATATGTCCTGTAGGACACAGAGGTGCTTTGTCCTTGAACTCCTGAAGTGGGTGCTCTAGGAATGACTCTTTTGTGGGTTATTTGAGCTCTTCTGTTGTAATTGGGTCTTAATTGTCATTGTTCTTTACATTGGTGGGATCTCCTCTCAGGCTGGCTGTGACGCTCATTTCAGACATTTTTAGAGCTGTTGTACACATGTTGATAAGACAAAAATAAAACAAAACTGGAAACAACCAAAAACATACAGAAGTACCCAACAACAGCAGCAAAAACAACTACAAAGAACCCTTCCCAGTATGGCTCAATTGGCTGTCCCATGCACAGCAAAGTCACTGGTTCAATTCTTATTCAGGGCACAAACCCGGTTGTGGGCTCCATCCCCCATAGAGGGCCTGCAAGGAGGCAGCTGATCTGTGTTTCTATCTTTTATCGAAGTTTCTCTCCCTCTCCCTTCCTCTCTCTAAAATCAGTAACAACATATTTAAAAAGAAAAACAACTACAAAAGAGAATTATTAAAGAGAAAAGAGAATGAGAATAAATGAAAAAGAATGAAATAAAGTAGTAATAAAAATGAAAAGAATAGTAGAGAAGAGAGGAAGAGGAAAGATTCTGAAAGGAACGAAGGGAGAGAAAAAATAAGAATAGAGTGGGGGAAAGGAAAACAGTAAAAAAGAAAGAAAAAAGAAAAAAGTATAGAAAGGTAAAAAGAAGAGGAATATTAAGCAAAAGAAAAAACATAGAGTAAGAAAAGAGGCAGCTAAGAGATATGAAAGAGAGGCGAAAAAAGGGAAAAGAGAAAAATAATAATAATAATACCAAAGCAATAAAAAAGAAAAATTAAAGATAATAATGGAAAAACAAACACCAAAAAAAAAATCAGTATATGAAGTTTGTTTCAGCAGATTTTAGTGCCTACTAGGATTTCCCTTTGGATCCTGCTCTCATGTTGTCTGAGGCTAACTTTTTTTTGTATGCTTATTTTAAGCCTCCCTGGAGGTACTTTTGTGCTAACAGTCAGAAGCTGTCCAAGTTGGCCCTCCATCCCCTTTTCAAAGCTTTGAAGCAATCTACAGCTTATGGCTGCCTCCCCTGAGCTTGGCTGCCCATGGGAGGTGCCAAATTGAGCTCCAGTGCTTGTTTCTTAGTAGCACGGGGACCTATGGTGTGTCAGCAAATGTTTAGACTTAAGGGAAGAAGGTGGTTGTGTACCATTATTATTTCCTTGCCCTCGGTTGGGTGAAGTCCCTCTTAAGCTGTGGGTGTCTGCTGGAATCCAGGAGTTTCTGTTAGCTCTCCTGTAACACGGAAGCACCAGCCAGGTTCCCTGGAAAGTAGGAGGAGTGTCCCTACCCCAAAGCCGGCTACTGATGCTTCCTGAGACTACTGCCCCCTGAGACTGCTGCAGGGTTGCTGGATTCCAGAGGGTGCAGTGAGTGGGATTCCTTAGGGTGGGGTGAGCTATATACCAGGAGGTTGGGTGTTTGCCTTTCCCCAGGCTTCTGCTGTTGAGAGGGGCTTATGCCTCTAAGGAAAAATGGTTGCTGTGATATGGGGGTTGGGGCATGGCGGGGAACTCAGCACAGGTATCCCCGCAGCCACCTTCCCTGTGACTCTCCCCAAATGCTTCTACCCCTGTCTCTCCTCAGGTAACTCTAGTCTGCACTGTCTTCCCTCTGCTGAAACCTAGGGGGAGTGTCTAAGAATGAAAGTTCTGTGCACCAGCCCTTTAAAGAAAGTGCTTTGTCTCTGAGCAGCTCAGGCTGCTGCATGGGCAACTGTTCCCAGCTCTGGCTGTCTGGGCTGGTGAGCCCTGCCTGATGTCCATCCCCTCTCCTGCTGGGGCAAGGGTTCCTCACTCTTGGCCCAGCGCTCCTGAGAGCTGGGCCATCACCTCTCACTTTCCCGCCCTTCCTACCAGTCTCAAGTGGCTTCTGCCCTTCCTGTTTAAATGGCTTCTCTTCAGGCAGTCTTCAACTGGTATTTCATGGTGAATATTCCCCAATTTAGTTTTAATTACAGTTGATTCTGGGAGGAGGGAGGAGAAAGGTCTACCTATTCTGCTGACATCTTCTAATCCTTTCTCAGTACCTATTATTGTTCATATTTTTCATCTTTTTTCTTCTTAAAAAATATTAATATTTCATATAATATTGATTTGGTGATGACTAATTCCTTTAGCTTTCTTTGTATGGGAAGCTCTTTATCAGTCCTTCAAATCTAAATGATAACTTTACTGGTTAGAATAATCTTGGTTGTAGGTTCTTTGCTTTTTTTTTTCACTTTGAATATTTCTTGCCAATCCTTTCTGGACTGAAAGGTTTCTGATGAGAAATCAACTGCCAGCCTTATGAAATCTCCTTTGTTGATTACTTACAGCTTCTCTTTTGCTACTTTTAAGATTCTCTCATTGTCTTTAGTCTTTTGCATTTTGATTATGATGTGTCCTTGGTATGTTATCTCTTTGGGTTCATCTGTGTAGGTCTCTCTGTGCTTTCTGGACTTGTATGTTTATATCCTTTACCCAGTATGGTAAGTTTTCTGTCATTATTTTTTCAAATAAGTTTTCAATTTCTTGGTCTCTCCTCCTTTTGGCAGCCTCATGATGCAAATGTTAATACAGTAAACCCTTGATTTTGTGGACCTCAATTTAATGGACTTTTAATTTAATGAATAAAATTTCTAGTCCATATGTTATAAGTGAAAATTAATACCCTGTTAATTTTAAAATGCTTTTTACCAAGATTTGCTCATAATTAAAATAATAGGTAAACTTTTGTTATTAATTCACTGTTATTTTAAACAAATTTTACAAATAGACCATATTTTGGAAAAACATTGTAGTAATTTCACTGACATAAATAAATATTATATATCTACAATTATCGTCTATATATTTACATATTTTTAAAAATATATTTTTATTTATTTTAGAGAGGAAGGGGTAGAGAGAGAGAAACATCAATGATGAGAGAGAATCATTAATTGGCTGCCTCCCGCACGACCCCTACAGGGAATTGAGTCCACAACCTGGGCAAGTGCCCTGACTAGGAATTGAACTGTGACCTCCTGGTTCCTAGGTGGATACTCAACCACTGAGCCATGCCTGTCAGGCTATAATCTATATATTTAATAACAAGGCACCACTTGTAAACAATGTTTGCAGAATGATTGGCACATGATCACACCACTTTGTCTGTGGTGATTGGTTCTGTTGTCCCATGGCATTACTTTCTGCAGCAGTTTTAATGTGCACTAAGCCACGCTCCGGCTGTGTGTATTTGTTTACTTGCTGTGACTGGTGAATGCATGGAGTTAGTTGACCTATTCAGTCTACATTAAAAATTTTTGTAATGCATATAGGAAACTTGTCTGTGAAATTAAACTTTTCATACATACTTAATTTTAATTACATAAACATGTCTACATAAGTAAAAACCAGTAGGCTAATTTGTCAATTTTTTAACATGCATTTGGAAAACCTATTTTATTACATAATGAACTTTCACTTATAATGGACACCTCCTTGCTCAAATTAATCCATTATATTGAGGTTTTACTGTATGCTTAAAGTGGTCTCATAGGCTCCTTATACTCTCTTCATGTTTTTGGAGTCTTTTTTCCTTTTCTGTTCTGATTGGGTGTTTTTTGTTTCCTTGTATTCCAAATCACTGACTTGATTCGTTCTCAACTTCATCTATTACTCTATTGTTGATTTCCTGAAAATTATTCTTCATTCAGTTATTACATCCTTCATTTCTGACTGTCCTTTTTTAATGCTGTTGAAACTCTCACTAAGTTCATCGAACATCCTTATAACAAGTGTTTTGAATTCTGCATCTGATAGGTCACTTGTCTTCACTTTTTTTTTCTTTTTTTTTTTAGTTCTTTTTCCATAGTTTTGTTTTGTTCTTTCATTTGGGACATGTTTCTATTTTGCAAGCCTCCCTGTGTTTATTTATTAGGTAGAGCTGTTATATTTCTCAGGCTTCATAGAGTGGCCTAATGTAGTAGGTATTCTGTAGGATCCAGTGGCACAGCCTCTTTGATCACCCAAACTGGGCACTCGAGATGTACCCCCCCCATGTGGGCTGTATACATACACCGTCCTCTTGTAGTTGATCCTTTATTGCTATTCACACATTAATGGGAGGGATTTACCCCTAGGTCAGTGGTCAGCAAACTGCGGCTCAGGAGCCACATGTGGCTCTTTGGCCCCTTGAGTGTGGCTCTTCCACAAAATACCGACTTCTGTGCATGGGCCACAAAGTTTTAATCGCACTGCACATGCACGCTCGCACGTGGTATTTTGTGGATGCAAATATCAAAAAATTTCTATATGTGACATGGCACCAGAGTTAAGTTAGGTTTTTTCAAAATGCTGACACGCCGAGCTCAAAAGGTTCACCGTCACCGGCCTAGGTCCACCCAGCATGAGCTATAAAGCAATCTGCAGATGGCTGGTGCCTGTGCTATGGTTAGAGGTGCCCAGGAGAGGCCAAGCTGTGAACTAAGGCCAGCTGTGGCTAGTTCTGGGCTTAGGGCCACTTTGCAAGAGGTACAGGGCTCCCTGAGGCCAGGTGCTGCTTATTTGTGAGATTTTAGAAAAATCTGAGGCATGAGCCAAAATAGGTCATTCGTTTGGAAAAGCCCCTGGAAACAGCTTGGGTGGGCCCCAAAGTTGCATCAGGCAGAGTCTCAGTGAATTACCAGGGTGGAGCAAACAGGTGAGGCAGTTTTGTTGGAGTCTTAGATATGGTGCCTGCCTACTGGCTCTGTGGGGGGTGGGCTCATCAAAGGAATGATAACCTCTGCCAGTACTTCTCTCTGGGATAGAGCTGCCCCTCTAGCTCTTGCCCTGATGGTGGACAATTCAGTTCATCCTTCTATGTCTCTGGTGCCTTTTGAGCTGCTGCCCCAGTGCTGGAATTCAGAAAGAGTGAGTCTCAGTAAGTCTGTATGCAGACCCTTTAAAAGGAACTGCCTGGGACTTCAGCAAATCTGTCCCTCTCATCCTCCATCCCAGCTTTTAATTTTTGATTTATTTTTTATTGGTTTTAGAGAGGAAGGGAGAGAGAAACATCCATTTGTTGTTCCACTTATTTTATGCAATCATTGGTTGATTTTTCTATGTGCTCTAACCAGCGATTGAACCCACACCTTGGAATGTCAGGACAATGTTCTAAACAACTGAGCTACCCCACTAGGGCCCCTGCTGATTTTTGCAGGGTCTTCTCTTCCTGGATTGGGGGCCTGGTGTGGGGCTGGAATACCTTGCTCCTCAGCAGGGACCTCTGCAGCCAATATATCCCTGCCAATTTTTGTCTGCTACACATGGGTGCAAGACAGCGGTTCTCAACCTGTGGGTCGTGACCCCTTTGGGGATCGAACGACCCTTTCACAGGGGTCGCCTAAATACATCCTGCATATCAGATATTTACATTATGATTCGTAACAGTAGCAAAATTACAGTTATGAAGTAGCAATGAAAATAATTTTATGGTTGGGGGTCACCACAACATGAGGAACTGTATTAAAGGGTCACGGCATTAGGAAGGTTGAGAACCACTGGTAAGACCATCCCATTCCGAGTCTCTGCCCCTTTTACTAGTCTTCATGTGGCTTCTTAAATTCCTAGTTGAAGAATCTCCATTCAGTCAGACTTCAGGCAGTTTCTAATGTTGGTGGTTCTGTAGTTTAGTAGTAATTTTGATATGGTTGTGGGAGGAGACTGGAAATTTTAAATAGAGAAAATGTAAGTGACCCATAAAGGCAAACCTGTTTTGTAGAGGTTTTTTTTTTTTTTATGTGACTTGGCTTTAGTTTTATAGCTTTTTACTTTATAGGGTAAACATTTTAATGTACTTGTTTTCCTGTATTTTTTATAACATTAATATGGGAATCATGTCATTCTTCAAACTTTCATGAATTTATTTTTCATCATAAATATCATTATTACTAATGTTAGTCTCCATAAAATTATATATACTACATATATTTAGTAAATTCATTCAAGAAACTGGGTTTGACTATTTGTATAATGTTACTGACTTCGGTGTTAGGATTTATCCTGAAAAAAAAAATGCTTTTCCGTTAAATAATTTAATGTTGTATAATTTTTGTGGATATGACGTTGTGGAAGTTGTTTTCTATTATTTAACATGCAACTTTTGAAAATATTGACAGATAGTACTTGAATGGGCTTCGCCTCGGAATTTTACTTCAGTTTGTGAAGAACTGGTTAGCAATGTTGAAGATTTGAGTGAAGAGGTCTGCAAACTAAAAGACTTAATTCAGAAGGTATATATTTAGCATAAAAATGGGGGAAATAATTTGTAGGATAGTATGTTAGACAATGAAGTAATTCTGACAAGAGCAACGTAAGCTACCACTAAACAGTTGGAAAGAGACAGTTTCCAAAGGAAGAAGTATACGTAGGAAACAAATTTCCATCAAAGAAATGCATACTAAAAAACAATGATAGATCATTTTCATCTTTTACATTAGCAGGGATAAGTATATTTACCCATTTCTGGTTAGAGTTCACAAAACTTACAGTTTCATATGAAACAGGCATCACAATCGCTTTTAGAAACAGTTTGACAAGATGTGCTAAGAACCATAAAAATATTTGTATCTTTCAATAATAGTTTAATTAATCCAAAATTATATGTACCATGAGTGTCCTATATTAGCAAAATGAATAAATTATTGTACACTTAATATAATGATATGCAGCCAGTTGAGAAAATAATGAAAATGAAATATCAGCTTGTTAAAGATATGAAGTTATATTTGTAAGTTTTACTTATATGTAAATATGCAGATAAAAAATTAACAAAATGAAAGTTCATTAGCTGTGTTAGTGAGATAGGATTGTGGATAAAAATACTTGTTCTGGTTTTTAAAATATATTTTTATTTCAGAGAAGGGAGAGGGAGAGAGAAACATCAATGATGAGAGATCGGCTGCCTCCTACATGTCCCGCTCTGGGGATGGAACCCACCTGGGCATGTGCCCTGACGGAAAATCGAACCATGACCTCCTGGCTCATAGGTCAACACTCAACCACTGACCCACACCGGCTGGGCTATTCGTTCTACTTTTTAGACTTTCTATAATATCTTTTATAATTTAACTTTAAAAAAAAAGTATGTGGCTTTTTTTATTGTTATTGTTTCTATACTCACATAGAAGTATATATCTGGATTCAAAGACAGGTGATTTTCCCCCTTTCAGAAAATAGGCTGTAACAAAATCTAAGCTGCTGAAATTGGGAACTCTTTTGAAGATAGTTAACAAAGGAAAACACTTTTACCTGACTAAAGAACTCAATTCTGAGTTCTTCAAGTTTATAGGTATGAAATGTATTTGTTAAATAAAGTTTTTTAATATATGATGTGAACATTAGATTATGGATTAAATTTTATAGCATCAACTCATAAATTATTTCATATTTTCATAAAAAAAGCTTTCCTCGCCCTAGCTGGTTTGGCTCAGTGGATAGAGCGTCGGCCTGCAGACTGAAGGGTCCCGGGTTCGATTCCGGCCAGGGGCACATGCCTGGGTTGCGGGCTCCATCCCCAGTGGGGGTCGTGCAGGAGGCAGCCAATCAGTGGTTCTCTCTCATTGTTGATGTTTCTGTCTCTCTCTTCCTCTCCCTTCCTCTATAAAATCAATAAAATATATATTTTAAAAAGTTTTCCTCTCAATAAATTTGATATATGTTCCAAATAATTGTCGTTCTAGCTATTAACAAAGATATGCTCAGTCAAAAGAAGTCTTTTTAAAAAATGAGCAGAAAATTGAGAAGCAAATTCTACAAAAAATAGGAAAATAAAGATATTTTAAATGGAGCAAATAAGCAATCTATTTCTAAATTATTATAGAGGATACCTCCATTCCAGAGAATGAGGCATCATAAAAGTTATATTATCTCTTACATTTATTTATTCAACAAACATAAGAATGCCTTCTGTATGTCAGGCAAATTGTGCTACACAGGCTATAGAGAGCCTGACTTGCTAAAAACATGAAAATTATAACATTGTTCATCTTCACTTCTTGCATCGTCTGGAAAATGATACTGATTTTACTTAGTATGGTGTTTTTCATGGGAATCCAAGGGAAATTGGGAAGGAGTTATGTAAAAAATCTCCTGCAAAGCATCAACCTTTAATGTTTAGTGTGGGAAATTCCCTAAGACATCTTTGCCTCAATTATTTGATTTCTTCAAGATGAAATGAAAACATTTTGGGCGTGGGGGTGGAAGATTGAGATGAAATTAGAGAGACACCAGATTTTTCTTAAAGGAATGAAATTAAGAAATACTGCTCTAGGGGTGACTTTGACTCTAAAACAAAAATAATCAAATCAAGTATTATATTTATTTTAATGTGACTATAGACAGAAATTTCAGCTTTCTTTAGCTAAATAGACCTTTTCTCTGTGACCCTCTTTATCTTGAATCTGTACATTTCTATGTGAGGACTAGCCTTGGTTTATAATAATAGCTTATACAGTTCTTTGGGCAGGGAAGTTAATTTTGGATCAAGCTAGTGCATTGTTTTTTTTTTTTTTCCTGAATTAGTCTTAATCACCATAGTGAAATTTTATTTAAAGAACTTAAGAGCTTCCAAATTTGGAAATATGCTATCATGCCTATTTAGCTTATGATATTTGAAAGTTTACCAATAATAACTGAAGGGAATTTTTAAAAGAACCATATGAGTTACCATAAGTATATGGAGATAACAGAGAGAGGGTAGGAGAGGTCAAGACTGGACTTTAGCACCACATCACTCTCTTTCAAACCAACACACTGACAAGCTCCTGTCAGGAAGGGTCATTCTAAGTAATTGGTTAATAAAAGGAATTACTGTCTCAGGATTCAGTAAATGGAACATCAGTGTCAAAAAGGAATCTGTTGCTGAATGAAGCCATTTGGAAGTTAGACCAAGAATACAGTATTAATGAGATTGGCACTGATGTCTGTTTCTACTATAAATTGAAAATTAATTTTGCAGGCTTTTAAAATTAAATATTTATACTGTAGATTTTAGAAGTAGTTATTCTTGCTAATGATGAAAGTATTTGTCACCACTCCAGCACAGGATGCTTTTAGTAAATATTGCTCTATAAATGTGCCTGATTATTTTTATCTTTCAAGAATCTTTTGGTTTCTGTTCATTTTCTCTCTTCTACTCCTCCAGCAACAACTGTCTCCTCTCTCTCTCTCCCTCTCCCTCTCCCTCTCCCTCCCTCTCCGTGTCCCCTTCTTCCCTCCTTCCCCCCCCCCACACACACGATTTGGGGGACATTTTAGCAAGTAAGGTCTGTGTATAGAAGCTGAGAAACTGGGTCATGTACTTTCATTGCGGAAAAGTGCTAGGAAAACCACTTAGGTTTTTATTGATGTTTGTTCCTCAATTATACTTAAATAAAGGGTTAAACTTCTAGCATTAGCATCATATCTTACAGCTTTTGTTAAGATTTACATATTGTAGGTACGTTATAAGAACAATTAACTTTTTTATAAAAAACCAAGTGATATTTAATACAGAAGGAAAAATGCAATTATGATTTCTTAGGTAGAAATAGAAATGTTAATATTAAAGAAACTTTATCTTATGACAAAAACATGATATTAAAATATAATAACTATAAGAACATTTATTTTTAATGTGAAACTCATGGTTTACTATAATGAATCCTGGTGAAAGAAAGACTAAAGACATATGTGGTCACTTTAAATCTTAAATAAGAATGTTGCACTGGCTACATCTAAATCATGCATTAACATGGATATATTATTATATTTTTTAGATCAAATATATTTCTATTTTCAGTGTACTACATGTACATTAACTCCTTTTTTCCCCATGCAAAATATTAGTTGCAAAACGAAAGAGAAAATGATCCAACTCATATACCATTAATAGAAGAAGTATCTACATGGAATAATAGAATTTTGAAGAGGACGGCTATTACAGTATGCGGATTTGGATTTCTTCTTTTCATTTGCAAGCTAACTTTCCAAAGAAAATAATCTTAATATTTATTTTGACTATTGTATGTAGATTTTATTTAAATAACCTTAAAATGTTACTTTTAACCATTTGTGGCTCAATAAAACTACATTCTTTGCCAGTATTCCACAGGAAAAATTATGATAGCATAGAGTAGGGAATTTTTCTTTAGAAAGTGGTTTGTGACTTTGAGTTAAAATATAATTTGTTATATTTTATGATAATTTTGATCAAGTAGTAAGTTATTCTTAAATTTGATCCTATGACTCTAAATCACATTCAAAATAAAAGTTTCATCTGATATTCTTTGACATTTAAAAAGTGTTTATTTGTCACAGTGAATCCTATAAAATCCGTAGTGTTCATTAATCAATAGCTTTCTTTTAGTTTTTATGTTCCCTCTCATTATTATGTAATAAGGACTTTCTCATTTAATTTTGTAGTTATGTAACATTATTAGGAAATTACTTAGAAAGTATTCCAGAGAATTTAAAGGATAACGATAAAATGTAACATTTTTGAATTATAGTTTAAAATTCTAGGGAAAATGTTTTAAATGTAAAGTAAAAAAAGAAGAAAACTTATGTAATGTATTTAATGGGAACATGTGACATGTACTGTGTGTGACATTCTTAAGGTTGTTATACATTTGGCATAAAATTTATCATTAGTGTAAATAATACATAATTTCTCTTTTTCTCCCCCCAAAACAAAATGTTCATATTTTTTTGAAATATATGTTTTTATTGATTTTTAGAGAGAGAGGAAAGGAGAGAGAAACATCTATCACTGCCTCCTGCATGCCCCCTACTGGGGATCTAGCCCACAACCCAGGCATATGCCCTGACCAGGAATATAGCCGGTGACCTCTTGATGCATGGGATGCTCGGCCAATTAAGCCACACCAGCCAGCGCATACTCAGATTTAATAGTGATGTTAATCAAAGGGCAGACCCAAATTAGCAGGGAATATAGTAGTTAAATCTTGTTTGACTTAGAAAAGATGCACTTGATCTATAACTATTGAAAGGTAAACATCAAGCAAAGGGGAAAATTATAGAAAGGAAGAACAGTATAAGGACCAATAATTAGCAGCAATTTCTGCTCTTAGTTATACCAAAGCAACAAGACTTGAATCATCATTCTTTTTCTGAGAATATACTCAACCATATATCATTGTGAAGAACTGATGTCTGAAATTTTAACCTAAGTGCCATAGCATTTTTTTATTCTGATGTACCTCATTCAAATGGGGTCAAGACTTAGAACTAAACTGGAATATGAATAGAATAGTTACTTCTTTTAACACATGTATTTCACTACTAGCACAGCACTTAGATTAAATTAAAGGTGTTTAATGTTAATTTTAGTTTCCTTAAAAGAACTGTAGGAATGATATGATTGATTTTTAAAAAACTGTAGGAAAATGAAAGACATGCTACTGATTGTATACTTATAATAATCTTACCTCAGTTCATCTTGAAGGTAATCATTTTTCTTCTGTTGGCTGATGGGTCACTATTTTTTTTTCTCTAGCCAACCAAACCAAATCTATGCATCTCTCAGATACTAAGATAAAACTTTTAAAATGCAAATTAACAAAATATTTATTTTCTGAAAGAATTTGTGATATAATTCCTTAAAATAATGATCTGCCCTAATGAAATTCAACTATAATTAGCTACTCAGGGGAAAGAAATACTGTAAAGTCCATTGTATCTGCATATTCTGAGTATATTTTTATTCCTTGACACACAGTCTGATTTTCAGACTACAGATTGAGAATAAGTAGGGCAGCATTTATTGTGATAAATTGTTTCTTCATGGGTAAAGTATCAATAGAATAAATAAAATTATCCAAATGGTTTGATATTGGTTGTTGTTTTTTTTTCTCTCTTCCTACTCTGATTATTTGACTTAATTACAATGCTGTATTATGAGGAGTGGTATCACTCCTGGAATATTCATTCTTTACAAGATAGCTCAATACAAATTATTTTTATTCTTGTCTTAAATTCCATAGAGACCTCCCTAAAACAACAGACAAAAGTATTGTAAACCAAGTTTTAATTCTATTCCCTTGAAATTAGTAAAACGTTTTTTTAACTGGTACTTAGTTTTTAACTAGTTGGGGTCAAACGTGTTCTTATAGCTTTGGAATCAATTTGGGAACTCAATCCATTATAAGCCCCTGTTGGGATGCAAGTATCTTTGAAGGAGAAATGCTTACTGGACACTTTTTTTATTGTATCGAAAATTTTGTAAGAATTTTATTTATGACTTGACAGTATTCTCCTTAGGAGATACCAGGAGAATTTCTGAGTTTAGATGATAGAATAATTGCTAACAGGAATTATAATCACAAGGCTAAAAGACAGTCCCAAAGTAATTACGATGTATAGTCGGGAGAGTGGACTGAATTTGTGAACACCCAATGAAGAGAGAACCAGAGAAAAAATTCTTACAGCCACTACGAATTAAGAGAGGGCGGCATCAAACTTTGATAGGTTCTCACATATGAGGAACTTCCTAATTGTTTAGGTAGGAACCAACCATTTGTGGGAATTCCAGAAATTGTAGGATAGCAGGTATTTAAATGCTCTTGAATTTAAAGGGGACAATTGAAGGGGAAAGTCTTATAGTCTATTACAATGGCTGGGTTTCTATTCACTTCCTCAAGATTTCATAATATATTTGCATGTCAAAATCCAGAGAAGAGTTTCAAGATGGCTGCAGAGTAGCTGGATGCCCTTGCTCCCAGCCAGTGGGATTTATAGTTAAAATATTGCACAGTCAACTTGAATAACCAAGTAAAATATAGGTGGTTGGAATTATATCTAAGGAGCACTGAAGAAATTACATAGATACTGGCAAGAGGAGTGTCGTGGACAGGGGAGCCCTCCTCAAGAAAGTGTGGTGGCTGAGAGGCCTGAGGGATATCAGCTGCAAAGCTTCCTCCCCATTGGAGTATGGGGTCTTGATCCCAGGCAGGGATTCCAAAACTAGAGCAGCAGAGACAGGAAGAACAGCCCACTTAGCATCAGGCAGAGGGAACAAGAGGGACTGTCAGCCTGGGAGACTTGGATGCACCTTCCAGTGAAGGAGTGCTGCTCCTATTGTTAGCCTAGTCTGAGATGCTTGCTCCTGGCTCAGACTGCTGGAGAGTCTATGATGCTGTGTTTGGGTCCAGTAAGGGGTTGTGGGCTGCATCCAACAGTAACTTTGAGGGACCTTCTATTTTCTTGAAAGACATCATGCAGAGCCCCCGTCAGTGACTAAACTATTTGGCTTGGGGAAATGAGGAAGGTCTCTCGCACCTTGATTGAACAGTCAGAACCATTCCCCCCACCTGCGCAGCCTCCTAGAGTGCCCCATCCTACTGGGTTGGCAGCACCAGGAGTAGTGCAGGTCTGGGATGCTTGGCCCACACTGCAGAGTTGGGAACCCAATTGGAGCTGGAAATTTGGTGCCCACTTTGCAGAAACCAGTGTGAGGAGGGATGAGAGTCCTGCACAGGACTGATTTTTTTTTTTACCCCCTCATGCTTTGTCTGGTGGCACAACGGTGCCAGTACCATGCAGGGCTGTGATTTTTGGACTGTATCCCCCCCAGGGAGGCTTCTGTCAGGGAGACATACAGTTGAGTGCTGGGTTCTGTGACTGCATTGTGGGGAGGCTGATGCAAGCTCCCTGGGAGTTCTACCAGGCAGTCCTGGGAAGGAGAGCTAGAGCGCCTCCCCCTCTCCTGAAGGCATGAAAACCATCCACAACAGGAAACTGGTTCAGCCCTGTGAAATAATAAATATGCCCGCTGGGCGCAGTTCTGTAGCTCAGAGCAGGACATTCTACATGTGAGACCCACAGTAGCTGTAGTCTGGGACCAAGAAGAAATGCTTGCTTTAGATCAATCCTCCTGAGCCCAGGGTAGCTGAAACTGCCCCTGAGGAGAAGATGCCAACCTGATCCTGTAGCAAGCCCCTTAGGGGAAACTGAGTTGGAGTCTCTGGTAGAGACTGAGGAGTTTGGCTTTAAAGCAGAGACTAATTTCTTCTCACTAAGTGCCTGACTGTGTAATGTCCAAGCAGGTGGTCCACTAGCCTGAGCTAGGCTAGCCTAGGTACGTTCTACCGATTCTTCTTGGAAGACTCTGGAGGAAGATCAGGCAACTCATGGAGGGAGTGGAGTAGCTAAAAGGTGGAGGTGGACCTCAGGGAGCCCTGGGCTGACCACAGATCTGCCCCCTGCTCTTAAGTTGAATAAAGCTGACCCATGTACACAGATTGATCCCTCCCACACACATACAGGTCTTGCAGATGAGGACATAAACAGTGAACTGAGTGGTAACTACATGCAGGTAGCCAAAGGCCATAGTCTACACACAATGTCTTACTGCAATCTACATCTGAAACACATCCAAAAGTACACAACCAACACAACTAGTGGTGAGCTTCAGATCACACCAAAGCTTGACCCAACTAGACACGAGGTGGACCCTGGCAGGCTCCAGGCCTTGCTTAGAACAACCCTGCCTCAGAGGGCAGCATCTCAAACATGGTGATAAAGATGCTCCTATAGATACCCAGCCTGAAGGGTTAACAATTGTGCCTCTGAGCCCATCAAGGCACCTTAAGACTGCACCTGCAGAGCAATTTGCATGCCAGGTTAAGGGTTCAAACTCATAGCCAGACTGAGGATCAATCCCACCCAGAAAAGGGTCAACATCAATCAAGACCCAATTACAACAGGGGGGCTTTACCCACACAAGAGGCATTCCTAGAGCACCCAGCTCAGGAGATCAAAGACACTGTGCCACTTGGTCCCACCTACTACCAGAAGGCCACTCCACCAAGACTGGGAATCTTAGTTATGTCTAACACATAGGAACAAACACAAAAGACAGCCAAAATGGAGAGCCAAAGACACAGGCCCCAAATGAAAGAATAGGAGGAATCTTCAGAAAAAGAGCTAAATAAAATGAAGGCAAGCAATTTATTAGTTAGTTCAAAGTAATAGTCATAGGG